GCCGGACATAAAATTGAAAAAAATCCGGAAAATTTGCCACATAGGAAAGGCGCCCGCTGTCGTGGCCTAGGTTTCTCACTGGAAATCCTCGTCCCCCGGCGGCACCTTTTTTTGAATTTTCTTCCTTTTCAACGCCGTTTTTTGGGGATTTCGGATTTTCTTTGAATTTTTTCGCAATAATATTCGGAAAATAGATAACTTTTAGCACATTTTAATGCAATGAATATTTTTGGTCGGAGTCCCCCTTTAACAAGCGTTTCAAAAATAACTAACATTCTGGAAAATAAAATTGGCTGAAATTGTTCACCTTACTATCCTGACTACTCAAAATCGATGCTAATCCACTATTTTTGAACTGTTGGGCGGTTTTTTCTCAGAGCTTGATTTTATTGAAGCCGTTGATTTTTCAGTTGGCTCGTCTAATACCTGAAAATTAAAAAATGTTATATTGGGCTGTTTTTCAAACTTTTGAACCTACGTCTAACAAATCTCCCCATTCATCGTCAGACATACACACAGGTTTTCCTAAAAATTATTTTTATATGCACATGAGAAATGTTTAAAAAACTTTTCTTAGAAATTAGGGAGGGGATCACTATAGTAAGTGATATGTGAATATAAAAATCGTGAATGTGAGGGAAGGGGGTAGAAAAGAAGGAAATATATAAACTTTGCTATGACAACCACAAGGGAAGAAGGGAAGAGGGAGTTGGAGAGAGATTTAGACAGCTCAGAACTCCCTCTGGAAAGAAGGGTTGCAAGAAAGAGCGTGAAGGGAAAAGGAACGTTTAGTATAATATACCTAGACGCCAGAAGGGGGGGGGGCTGAGTTCAGGAAGAAACAGAAAGGAATGCTATTTCTGCTGTAAAAGCTTGAAGGAGTATTAGAACATGATTGAGAAAGGAGTGTGCAGTATCAATGAGGGATTGCTGGGTTCTAAATAAAATGAATATTGTTCTTACAATACTTCGTAAAACTTGGAATTTTTTGAAATAATAGGACAAGCAAGTTCATTTCAGGATTATAAAAAAATCAGAGCTGGAAAGTGTATAAAATTCAGAAATAAAAACTTGAAATGTTGAAATTGTTTAAGAACTTAAAAACTTTTTTTGGTGTTGCTCAGCGTTTTCAGCTCTATTTTTACATTATTTCTGGAATAACCTATACCAATTTCCTATTAAACTGTCCAACTCATTTTTTTTGTTTTCACAAACATCCACATTTTTTGTGTCGAAAATAATAGATATCGCTATCAATAATTTCCCCTTTTTGTCTTCCAGTCTATTTCCGTACTATTTTCTCTCTTCTCTCCTTTTACATATAATACTAATAATGATAATTTGTCAGGGGTCTCCGAGACTCTTCTCTTCAAAACACCCCTCTTTCTCTAACCACTCTCTCAATTTTTCTCACTGTTTCTCTTTCATGAGGTCTTTTAGTGGCAAACAGCCGATTCATCGGAAATCGTGTGTCTCGTAAATTGACTGTGGCTGTGGCTTGTCCCGTTTTGAATTTGAGGAGACAGAGGGCGAGAGAAAATGTAAAAAGAATGGAAAATGAACGCCAATTTTTTTCAAAAGCCCGAAAAACTGATCACCGTAGTTTGATTTTTTAGCACTGGAATATAACTGGTTACATCAAAAACATTGATTCTTTGCAGTATTTCAAAAAATATGAAAAAAATCCGAATATCGAAAAAGAGCATTTGTGCATTTCAGCTTTTTTAAAAACTTGCTCGGCATATGGGTTTTGTAAAATTTGAGCAAGTATCAAATTAAATTTTGGATGGTTTTCCAAATAAAATTGAAATTTCCAGACTTTCAAAACTTTTCCTCCCAAATAGTAAACATTTTTGTTCTTTGTAGATATTCTAATAATGCTTGTTGGTTTCAAAAACTAGATACATAAGTAATGTTATCATCAAAGCATTATGGGTTATGGTTTTAAGTGCAGAACTCTTAATCTCAAACGTTTTAATCCAAATGTTATCCTACGTTGTTCAAAATTCTCCAAATTTGTTCTAAAAAATGTTATTTTATCAATATTGCCCGTTCCTCAAAAAAATCTTCTCCGTCATTTTCATCTATCCAGCCGCTCTTCCAATTTCTCTGCATCTTCTTCTCCCAATCCAAAATGGCAAGCAATACATATAAATGTGAGTGTCGGTGGGGGTTTCTCTGAGAGTGACGAGCGGGATGGACAAAAAACGCCAAAGACGCAGACGCTTCCAGAAGAGAAGATTGTGTGTGTCGGTGATGAGTGATCGATAGTTGAAAGAGACGTAGAAGTTGTAAGATGTGGCCTGAAGAAGAGTCGATCAGCCGGTCATGTCTCTATGTCTCCATCTCGCCTCCCGAAGAACAACATTCACTGTCCTTCTTCTCTCTTCTCCGCCCTATCTCTATTCTCTTCTCTTTTCCCTTCAGTCCCCAACCATCCCATACACACAGCCATCCTTTCCCTGCTGACTGCTTGCTGACTAGGTTTTGCCCCGTTTCCTACTACTTGTGTGCATAATGGAAATGCTGGAAGAGGAGGAAGAGATTCCTGTGAAGTATCGGCTTCGCGGTGAAACTGATTGGCAATTCAAGAAAGAAGCGATCATGAAGATTGGGAGGACTGAATGGTGAGTAGGATGATGGGTTACGGTAACCCTATTTTGGAAGGTGTTAAAAATAGGAAATTATTTGAAGAAACGAGAAATTTAGATTTCTTCGAATTGATACACATTGTGTATTACACAATATAACATTTGCAATAATTGCAGGCTAGAAACTGAAAAAAAAAACTAACTAGGACACTAAAAACTGTTACTCAACATTTTAAAATTGCCAAAAACTGAAAAACTTTAAAACTTTACAATATTTCTTTCAAAAATAGAGCTACAAAAAATTTGAAAAACAACGCGGACAATATAATCTTGAAATGAGGCACAAAATGGTATTAAACTTGATATTTTAATATAAAATTTTCGAGTCGAATATATAACCAGGGGTTTGGTTGAAGGGATGTTGTTGGATTTAAAGTATACAAAAGGTATATTTTGAACCAGTCTTAAAAGTTTCCATTCACGTCTATTTGGATTTGTTCCTGTTTTTTTCCCTCACATTTCATCAAAACTTCTTCTATTTTTCTTATCACACAATTTTTTATTTGTCAAATGATTGACAGTGTCGCATCAGCTAATTTCGCATGTCTTGCTCTTGCAATTGTTCTAACTTTGTCAAAAAATATATAGAGCTTCTTGATTTCCATTCTCATTTTAATTCTGTACATTTTATTTTGAGTCCTACTGAATATTATCATATATTTTAATCTAACCGTTGTTGCTGCCAGCCTTCTTATCAATTATACGGCATCCATAATTCATATTAGCGATTCTTATCGGAATAGAACCTTTCGATGATTGACAGCCATCTATATCAAACTTAACAGAGTTCCAAATCACATAACTTGGCTTGAAATGAATATTTTCAAGCGCTAATTGTAAAATATAGATTAAAACAAAAGTTTCCAAAATGTTCAAATAAAATTTTTGTTTGATCATATAAAGGTTTCAGCAGAAGGCGATTATTAAAGGCTCACATTTTCGTTCAAATTTAACCGAAAAATCAAAACGAAAATGTAGATTTTGACATTAAAAAAAAGTTTTACGATACAAGTTACACATTTTAGGGCGATTCGTCTGAAGTTATGCAAACAAGGCGACGATCACCAATACTACTCACTCCACGTGGCGTTACTCACCCCGAACCGCCAATCCCGTGTTCAGATTAAATGTACTCGGGAAGGAGAGACGAACCCCGAATGGATGCAGGAATACACCTTCGGAGGAATGCAAACTCTACTTGTTAATCCTTGTTTGATGAAAATTGTGGAACCAAAGGTAAAAGAGTTTTTGGATTGAAATTGATTAATTCGAACAGTACAAAATTATCCGTTATTCGCATTTTCCGAATCAATTAAAATATTTCGAATCAATTAAAAGCGGGGAAGTCGTCGTTTTTGAAAAGTAAATTGAAACTATCTTGGCTCCAAAACTAAGAATTCTCTCATAATACATCTTGCCCATGAAGATTATGATCACAAACCCATTAGCAAGACATCGCGACAAAAATTTGATTCCCGTTTGAAATTTCTACTTTACTATTCATTCTTTTCCATTTCATCGTTTTCTCAACAAAAAAAAACAAGAAGATGAAAAAAGGAAAAGAAGAGGAGCATGTCATGCGTATGTCGCTGTCTCATTTCTTTTCGGCAAAAAAAGAAATATAAGGAAAAACATATATTTTCTTTTTAAAAGCAAACAGTACAGCATACAGATGATTTTTTAAAAATTATGAAAGGAGGCGAAAGGAACATAAAAACTGAACATCTAACACGTTTAATTTCAGGACAAGGTTACATTTGTTGTGGAGCTGAAGCAACTAACTGAGGAAGATGCTCCTAAATTGACCCTTCCCAAGGAGATCCTATTTCCCAACGGGACCCACGCTTTGAAAGTTGGAGATAGAAAATTGATATTGGATCCTGAGGTATGCGCCTCTAATTAATTCATCTTGACAGCATCACATAGTACATTTTCAATGTCTATAATCTATGAATTGAATCTGATTTGGCATTTTCGGAAATAACCAGAATTTTTTGCTATTTGAAATTTTAGGGGATCTTGTGGATGCTGTGATTTTTATAATATCGAGTTCAGAATGAAAAAAAATTACAGTATCTGAAACGTCGTGCACCGTTACTCGGTTATTTGTTCGAGGATGATGAGAAAAAGGAGTACACTTTTAATTCGGTCCTTTTTGAAGATTTGGTCGATGCGATGGGAGTTTTTCATCATCGGTGGGACCTTGAAGGTAAGGAACAAACAACATCTGTTAAAAAATTGAGAACTGGAAAAAAGCTATTATAAGTTCTACAAAATGATACTGAGCATGACTAGCTTGAACTTTTTGGTCTAGCGCTGTTGCTATTGCAAATTTAAAATGGTCTTTCACTCGCAACACTGCGAAAAGTTCTACGAAGTTCTTACAATTTATATTTCCAGCTGACCGCCTTCTTCAACTTATCCCTATCGCTCGAAAACTCGGCTTTGATATCTGGGGACCATCGTTGAACCGTGAATTCTCTCAACTGGTCCACCGCTCGGAACCAGTTAAGATTGTACAATTACCGACAGATGAAGAGATTCCTTGGGAATTTGATACAAACATATTATGGATGCTGAAGGATATTAAGTCACTTGGATCTTCCTCGATCCCTCAGAAACAAAATTCCATGATGACCTGGGAGGATGATCATCGGAACTGGTAAGTTCTAAAGGATCTTCCAAAAGCGGAGAGTATCCTGCAATTCTATAAAAAAATTCTGAATTTTCAGTCTCATGTTCGCCTATACACAAGAGTTCCTTGGCGAAAAATACCTATCCATTGGCTTCCAGTTCACCAGGGAATCGTGCTCTAGTGATGATGATGAAGAAGAGGAGGAACAAGAACTCCGACCCCCTTCAATTTGTAGAAGTGTGACTCACTTTGACATCTTTATACACATCCGGGACGAGTATGGAAACTTTATGTATACTGATAAGATTCTAGGAGTCAAAGATGATGATTATGTAATCGTTGGGTCTCCTGTTTTTGCCAAATTTGAAGATGTTCTGAAACACTCTGTAGATGGAAATTTAGATCTGGAGCTAATCTTTGTTTCACGGAGTGTGGATCCTGGAGAGGATCCCGAGCAAGAAGAAGGAAACGATGAAAACCGAGACATCAAAATGCCAGGACTCACAAATGGAAAAATTCAATGTGAAGGACGCATTACTCACATCAACAAAGAATATCTCTCTCATCACTCTGAGTTTTTCCGTGGAATGTTTTCGAAGCGATTCGTAGAAGGCTCCCAATCATGTATAAATTTGTCTATGGAAACTTTGGGAACCCTCAAAACCGGGTTGGATATGTTGTACAATCGACGACTGGTATTGGATGATGTTGGGATTACTAGAATCTTGGATTTCGCGGATCGAATTTGCTCAAAAAAATTGATAGATGGGTTGCAGACAATGCTATGGGGTAGTAAGATTATTAATATTGAGGATAAACAGTGGTTGGCAGAGGAGTTTATGCTGACTGATTTAGAGGTGAGCATTGAAAAACTGGATTTTGTTAAAGTAATAACATTCAAAACCTGACAATGCGCAAAATTAAAAAATACAATAATTTTTTGCAGCCGCTAGATGCGAACCATAAATTAAGAATGCGATTTTTATATCATTTTTTTAATCATTGAAAACTCATAGATTATAAATTCCAAAGTTTCAACCAAAAAATTCAGATCCGATGTGCTATGGAACAAAACGAAGAAGTCCTCAAAGTCACCCGCGCGTCCTGTAAACGTGCTCGTCCTGCCGATTTTCAAGATGATGCACCTGCGGCGCCGCCCCAACCGATTCCCGAAAGAGTGTTCCAACAAATTAATGAGCAAGCGGATGAGGCAATTAGCGCTCGATAGCTTTGCCAGAATTTGTTTTTTTGGTTAACTCAAATAATGAAACTTTCGCTTTTGCTAATGTTTTATCTACACTTTTTTTTAAATTTTGAATTCTGGAAATTAATCATATTTTATATTGTTTTGACGATCTACTCAAGTTTATTGATGTACATTTTGAAGATTCTGTAATTTAGAAGAACGTTGTTTGTACTGTATTGTACTGTATTATCTTGTGATGTACTCAACTTTCACTCTCCAACTCACTTTCCAGGTTTGACTTCTTTGAAAATTCTGTGAAATCCAGATGCTCTTGAGCAAAAATAACCTCTCATACTATCTCATGCTTTCCCATCAGCTAGACACTTGACGTCTCAAAATTTTTTTCGATTTAGTGTAACCATGTAAAAAACAATCATTCGAAGAACAAAGTTTTTTGTTTTTTTTTGTGAATTGTAAATACTTGTAAATAAATAAATGAAACACTTCGTCTAATTATCTTGTAATCCAAAAGTTTTCAGATCACGAAGTTCTCAAATTAAAAAAATTCAACTATCCGCATCTGTTTTCATTATGATTTTTATAAAAATTCAAAAAAAATCATATCATGTACGTTTCAAAAAAATTCTAAGCTACCAGAACGATTTCAGCAACTTTTGTTTCAGCCCCAAGTACATGAATATACTGAAAACGATAAATTCAGAAGCTCAACAATTCATATTGCCGCCAAACTCTTCTCTACCATACGATCCGCTACAGTACCCGCCACCCTCATTCCATACAAGGTGGTACATTTGTGAAAAGTTACAGTTGATTTTTTCCTTTATTCGATAATGTTTAAACTTTTCAGAGAGTAATAAAAAACCAATATTTTTTATTTTTTAAAACTCCGATTTTTCTATCAGTGTTTTTTGAAGAAATTATGTTCAACCTTCAAAATTTCGCAAATTTTCTTTTCGTACAAAACTTTCTATACTACTGAAAAGTCTAAGATTTTCGAATGAAAACCCAATAATTATGTTTCAGATAGGAAAAGAAAGATTTTATGAAATTCAAAGCTATAATTATATGTAAGTGCCCAAAATCACGAGTTTCCGAAAATTTGAAAAATTGGTTAAAAACAAAATTTTTCTTTTTTGTGTAACATCATACTTTGCATTTCAACACACTTTTCAGAATTGATTCGGACTAAATATTTGAAAAATTAATTCCGAGAGAATGTTATGAGAAACTTTTTAATTTTTCAGAAATTTGAACATCTTTACTTTAACAATCACCAAATTCTGTGTGTGAGTGTGTATGTGTGTGTGTCCGGTGTTCCCGGGTCACCTGCCCTACCGAAGTCCAGAATGGACCAAAATTTCCCAAATTTTCACAGATGACCCGAAATAGCAGCGAGATGATGCCCGTCTATTTTATGTTTCGAAATTTTGAGTTTGACGCCTTCTGGAGACGTTATTCTGTTTCTACGGAGCAAATTTTTAGAAAATTATTAAAACAATTTTTACGTCATCCCCGTTTAGCCGCCCAAATTTTTTTCTTATCCACGCTATTTCTGGGAGAAAGGTGATTTTGAGGAAACGTTATTTTAGTTTTTGAATATTTGAAAGGGAAAAATTCTGAAACAGGAAAAAATAGATTGCGAGGAAACATAAGATCGCGCTTTCTGGATCACTCGAATTTTCAGGATTTCAACTTTAAGAATTTCGTAACTTAATTTCTGAATTTCCAAATTCTGGAATTTCTAAATTTTGGATTTTCCTTATTCACCGAATTTGCAAAAAACATTTCAGAATTTCTGATTTTAGAACTTTTCAGGTTTCCAAATTTCGAAGTTTCTGAGTTTTTGGAAATTATGATTTTCGAATTCGTGAATCTATAAACTTCTGATATTCCTAAGTTCCAAGAACTCCTGGAGACTTTGTTCATTTCGAAACGTAGAACTTCTGAATTTCCAAATTTCCGGGTTCTCAATTTCTCGAATTCTCGAACTTCAGAGAGCAAAGAAACTATGAAAAAAAGGCAAAAAAGGTGATCTAATTTGGTACTTTTTTGCATGATTATGGGCATTGAGATGTCCAGTCGTTCATTAAGCGAAATAAGAATTTTCGAATTTTTGGAAATCGGAAATATTAAGTTGTTCAAAAAGTAATGCGCGTTTTTGATTCATTCTAACTTAATGCAGAAATAGAACAAGATAAGATTAATCAAGGGGCTTTTCTCCATCATCATCTACCACTTTCCAACAACACATGCTCAAATCGAAGTAGTTCGCACTAAACGCCCATTACTTTTCGAACAACCTAATACTAATTTTCCAAATTCCAAACGGTCAGATTTTCGAAAAGTTGTCAAACCCTCACTATAAGATAACGCAATGTAAGCGGGAGCCAGTAGGTCCAGCTCCGGAGGGACGCAAATCGACTGTCTTTGTTAATTTAAAAATTTTTCGAAATTCGGAACTTTCGGAAACCAGGAAATACAAAAATTCTGAAACTCAGATATCGAAACATTTGGAACTTTAGGAAACCGGAAAACCATTCACTCCGAATTTCAGAACTTATAGATCTCAGTCATAAGTAGTTTCGAAACTTTGAAAATTTGGAAAATTAAATATTCAGGAATTTTTGTGACTTCGGAAAATCGGAAATTTAGAAATTGAATTGTAAGATACAGTATGCGGAAGCCAGAAGATTGAGCCCCAGGTCAGCGACTGATTCCCAAAATTCTGAATATCTTAATTTCAGAGTTGATAAACTTCGAAATTTCCGCATTCCGCGTTTCCTAATTCAGGTTTTCAGAAACTCTGGATGTCAAAGTCTAGAATTTTCCGATTTTGAAGCTAGAAAAAAATCTCTGAGAAAAGGTATTGAAATCTCTTTTTGGAGTGGCAAGTTATTGTTAGCAGAGGCCAGTGGGTTTAGCCCGGAGGGGCGCAAACCGAAATTTGAAAATTTGAAAATTCGGGAGGAAAAAAAACCAGAAAGTTAACAATTTTTCACATCCAATCAAAACTTCTTTTATTATTTCCTCAAGTTTTGAGATTCAAACGTTTTAAGTGTAGCCAGAAGATTGTAGCCGCCGTCAGGCGGCGGAAATCGACTGGTTTCTATACAATTTCGAATATCTAGAGATTTTCGAATTTCCGACAGATTTTTTGAATTATTGAGATTTAGAATTTCTTTTTTTTTGAGTTTATATTGAAAACTTCTCGCAACACCTGGAATTCACACGAATTTCTGAGTATTTTCTTGAAATTCGAGTTATTGCCAATTCAACATCTTCTGAATTTTTAGGCCATGAAGATTTCGATCCAACAAGTGAGCACCTATTCAGGATTTTGTTTATCAGTCCTTGTAAATAATATTCTGATGTACATGATAAAAAACAAAACTACTAAACAACTGGGTTCTTATGTTTATCTGATGCTGAGTTTTTCGGTTTTTGAACTTTTGTTTTCTACAGTCGATGTTCTTAATCAACCGGTATGTTTTCTTGAACAATCGGTCATTCTTATTGTCTATGATTTACGTTTTCAGATGATTTTCGTAAACAACGGAGAATTTATATTCTTCAGTTCCAATCCTCTTCATCTAAACAAAGCTGTCGCCAAACATTTTAATAGTGAGTCCATTTTCACAAAAATTAACAAAACTGATTACCGTAATTAAGTGATAAACTTCGCTTGCTCTGGAATTATCATCTCTTTATTAGCCATTCATTTTTTCTACAGATATATGGCAGTTTGCAAGTGAGTCGCTTTTTTTCCTTAACTTTCAACAAATTTTTGATAATTTCTTTTCTAGCAATCAAACCTGGCTGAAACAATTTGAAAAACCAAGATTTCTCATTTGGATTTTGATTTTTTTCATTTTCGGACTGGAGTGGTATTTTGCAACACTTTTCCTAGGGAACACCACTGATAAAACTTGTGAAGTTGATATGTGAGATTTTTTGATTGAAAGTTTATCTACTAGGCAGTTATTCAACCAAAGAATTGAAGGGATGCGTTAATCGATTACTACAAAGTCGACCCGGAACTCACGGTATTCATTGGCATCAAATATCATGTTAAAAGTGCTTTGAAAACAACTTTCTGTACTAAATCGATTATTTTGGCATTGATTTTGTTAAAAATCGTGGTAAGTGAAGTTTGTTAGAATCTCATACTCACTCCCGGTTTCTTATTTATCAATCCAAACTTCCAGCTAATCTCCTGCATCATTGTTGTCTACTGTGGTTTTCGTACCTGGAAAGAAATTACTATCAAGAAGCGTATTGTCTCCAGAAGAACCCTAGACATGCAACGCCAATTTTTCCGTGCACTAGTCGTCCAAACTCTCATCCCATTCTTCTTACTCTATCTTCCGCTAATTACAATGCTCTGTGCCCCAATCCTCATGGCTAGCCTTCACAAAATCGATATCCTTATACAATTCGCCTTTGTTTTCTACCCAATTCTGGATCCTATTGCAGTGTTGATGATTGTTCGAGACTACCGAAGAGCAATTAAATCATTTTTCGTCGATCAATTGTTCGAACGGACCGTCAGAATTTTGAGATGTTGTCTTCCGTGGTTGGCATCGGAGAACAGAACCATCACACCACCGCCCGCCCATGTGAACGCTTCAGGGTTTCCAAGATATATTTATTGACTTTTCCGAAACAGAACATGTAAATAACACCCTTTAACTTTTCACTGAACTCTTTTCTAACCTAATTTCCTTATGATATAAAATAAGCTATGAAGTTTGGTCTTATTTATTTTTGATGACCGTATGGAAAAAGAGAGAAACATAACTCGCCCAAAATTTTGGAAGTTTGTATTTTTGCATAACAGCATTTTTTGTCACATTCAAGCCTTTTCCTTTATTATTCTTGGCTTATAATCTATTGCAAATTTCTTGAAAATCGAATTTCTTCATGTACAAACTCCAAGTTAGTAATCAAAAGTTGTTCTCGTTTATTGCGAAATTTTTGCTCAGGCCGATGATTCAATAAATGGGTCATGTATAGAAAAATCTCACCTGACAGAAAATATAATATATTTTTGAGCATAAAAGTTTTATCTGAATATCAAAAATCTACATATGTATATCTAAATTCATAAACATTTTTAAAATGACTTCTCATTCAGATGATGGAATGTGAGTTTAAAACGAACTAATTGAAACAATTTTAACATACGAAGTTTATAACAAATTTCTGAATGAATTTTGTTCAAATTAAGCCATTTTCCGAATTTTAAAAAATTTTATGGTTTTTTTTTCGAGTTTTGAATTTTCTTTTTTGAATTTCTGAAATAAAAAGGGGTTTTTGAATTTCTGAATTTCTATGATTTTTCGCCCGCGTGGCGCAGTCGGTAGCTGCGCGGCGACTTCAATACTCGCCCCGACAAGTTGAACTCCTCGAGGAGTATATTTAAACGGAATTTCAGAAAACATTTATTTCATGTCCCTCCACATTTAACTTTTCCAGAAAAGACCAGACATTTGCAATTGCTAATTATGGAATTAATGACAAATGTGAATGGCTACAGTACTCCAATCGTATTATATCCCAAGTTTTATGTATTTGGCTACATTCTACAATTATTAGCCGACTGTTAATTGTAAATAATTTCAAAGTGATAAGTGATTATCAAATTTTGATTATTGTACAATCTGCGATCAATATTGTTGCTTGTATTTTCGAATTAATAGTCAATGAGGTAATTTTAAATTTTTAATGTTTGAATAAACTAGATCAGTATCAAAACTATATAGTATGAAAAAGTTAACAACTGTTGGATTTTTTAAATAACATTTATTCATTAAATATTCAAGTATTCAATAAATTTTTATTTTTACACCCGCTCAAGTGGGAAACTTTCAGATCCAGACTCAAAACATCGACTATGTCAAAATTGGCCACCCTTTTTGGAATTTTTCGATGAGTGAAAGAATTTTGTATATAATCTTCATGAATACGTCAGCAACGAGCTCCCAGGATATATTGATGTTATTCAATTTGCACAGACTTTTTATAATAAAGAAGTGAGTCAAAAGTTAAAAAATTGAGAAAATCCCGACAATTCAAAGACTATCATTCTTATAATAAATAAACGAAGTTGCGTCTCTTTCTCTCTCTGTCAGTCTGTCCGCACACGTTTAAAAAGTTGAAATATAATATAAATTTAAGTGACCCTTTGAGTAAGACAGAGGAGCGAAGCGACGAACAGTTAAAGATATAGATTAAATCGCGCCGACGGCGCACCAGCCAACTGTTCGAAGCGCCGGAGGCGCGGCAAACGGGCTGGTATGTTTCGAAAAACTCAAGAATCACTGAACATTTTCGTGTTATTAAATTTCCAGAAAACGTTTGCTCATCCTCTACTCCATCGCCATACCTCTGATGCTCATTGGCCCAATTTTGGATGCTTATGACTGTTACCCAATAATTCAGGTGATTGAGTTATCACCATGCCGTTACTCAATCCACAAAAATTGGGTTTCCAGGCTGGTCAAGATGTGGACCTTTTTTATCGTCACGGACAGATTCCAGTTTTGGCCACTGTAATTATAATTTGCTACGTCAAACTGAAGCATGAATTTGCGACGAATCAAAATTTTTCGGAAAAGACGAAACGATTGCAGCAGAAGTTGAGTTGGAGTATTATGATGCAGGTTAGATATTCTTCCCCCTCACATCCCGCGTCTGGTTATCGATAGTGATATTCGTGGTACCAAGGTTTAAATTGTTTTAAAAACTCGAGTCCTAGGTCCTAGTATCATTTCTATATTTCGTTTTTTTCACGTGCAACAACTCAATTAGCACACCCACTTATCAGTAGAGATAAAGTTCAGGAAGTGGTCATAGCAAAAGGTGATAATGTTGCATAGTTCTGATTGCTGAATCAGGTATACAAAGTATAACATTGCTTGGGTAAAATTCAAAACGGGATGAAACTCCATATGAAACGGAAAAGTTAAAATTCAACTGAAAACTGAAGTTTGGAACCCAATGTATAGAAGTGAAACTTCAAAATTTGATATCATTTGAAACTTAAAGAACAAGAAATCCAAGTATGTTTACTTTACAAATTTTCAGCTCATTCTTCTCTGCGCCATTGCCGTCCTTATCTCTGTTATACCTGAATCAATAAAAGCTATTCGCTATGATTTGTACTTGAATTATATGGTCAATTATACAATTGTGAGTCTCTGTTAATTAAATCTCTGTTCATTAAGCTTATCTGTATACGCTGGCTTTTTGGTTGAGTTTTGGAGAAAAAAAAACCCCAAAAGAATGATTTTTTTCTATTCTATTAAAGCTTTTAATTTTACAATAATTTACATAATTTTAAATGCTGTTTTTTTAAATAGCTACAAAACCATATAAACAGCAACTTTCAGTACTCCCTAGTTCTGACCAAATGGTATCCTTTCCTATCTGCTGTATTCATCGCTTGGTCTATTGCCGGATTTTTCAAGAACAATAGCAGTCCACCGACAACTAAACAGCACTCGGATGTCAAAATTTTTCAAGTAGAACCGCAGAAAAATAGAGAAGTTGCCGCTCGTAAGATGTCACCACTGGCGTAGAACACCCAAGAAATTGGAGAGTGAAAAGAAAAGTTGTGACATTAATGCTATCAAACAAGTACACATCTATTCATAACTCGTTTTATTTTTGACATAAAGCTTCTGTTTTTAAACCGAACAGAACTGCGTAAAGTTTTAAAATATGAAAGTTGAATTGATTTTTTATTCCAGCTCATTTCTCACAAAATTTTTCACAGACCCCTTAGACATTCTCCCAACATTTTTAAACTGCTGAATTTACAGAACACAAACAAGAACAGGCAACCTATATATTATTTTAAGAGATGACATTTTTAGCAAACAAATATTATGGAAATGTTATAATCTTAAAGGGGGAATCCGACCAAAATTTTTTTTTGTATTAAAATGTTTCAAAAGTTATCTATTTTTCGAATATTATTGCGAAAAAATTCGAAAGAAATCCGAAATCCCCGAAAAACGCCGTTGAAAGTGAAAAAAAAAATTCGAAAAAGATGCCGCGAGGGACGAGGATTTGAATTCCCGCGCAGTGAGAAACCTAGGCCACGACGCCTGATAGCATTATTTTCAAGTGGCCGACAGTGTTTTTTAACGTTTTTTACCTGTCGGAGATAAAAGCGAACAAAATCCGGAAAAATTGTCCGGTAAGAAAGTCGCGCAGCACGCGATGCCTAGGTTTCTCACTGAAAATCCTCGTCCCTCGGCGGCACCTTTTTTTTTTAATTTTTTCCTTTTCAACGGCGTTTTTCGGGGATTCCGGATTAAAAAAAAAAAATTTCGCAATAATATTAGGAAAATAGATAACTTTTAACACATTTTAATGCAACCCCCCCCCCCCTTTAAACAGAAATTTGAGTGAAAAACGAGGCAAACCCGTAAACAGGAGAAAGCTACATGAGTTGTTAGAAATGATAAGAAAACTGGGAAACCGTGAAATGTGTAAAAATCAAACATCAGAAAACAGCATTTAAAAAACTTCAGAAAAATAAAAGGACTCGTAACTGGAGGAAAAGAAAGATCACTAGTTGATGATCAAAGTTAGGTGCGTCCTAATATAGGACGAACTGTGAGATTGACTAGTATGAAAAAGTAACAATAAATGTTTGGGAACACAAATATTGGTTAATAAATATGACTATCAAATTGAAAAATGGAATAAGTTGAAAATTATCGAAATTCAAAACAACAACATTACTGAAAAACAAGATTTGTCTCCTCGGAAACTCCGAATCTCTCCTTATGCTCATCAAACAGCTTTGCCAACTCTTCCATGTATCTCTTATGTATCCTATCCACAACTTCTTTTTCTGGGTTTTCAGTCTTCATTACTTCAATAGGGTTTCCAACTACCACATTCACGCTTGTGTTGATTGGAAGAAGTCCTAACGCCATTTGAAAATATCCTCTTCCATAAATCAGTGGCAATGAGATTCCCATTTTCTTCTTACCCCATTCTTGCATTTTTCTAAGCACTGACCCTTCTGGATTATCGATTTGTTTATAGATGTCATTTTCTCCAAACGCATAAACTGGAACTAAATGTGCACCGGTCTTCAGTGCTTCTCTGACGAATCCCTTACGGGTGGCCAATGTAAGAGTATGTTTCCCTGGATGGGCTTCGAGAGCTTCTGCCGCACCTCCTATCACAATCACCACTGCCCTTCCCCTTTCCTCGGAGCCTAACACATATTCAATAGATTCCTTGGAACTCTCAATTAGGCCAATACTGAGCAATATTTCGCGTCGGAACATAGCGGTGAAGTTGCCAGGAAGCGTGCAGATGCTGAATCGAATCCCGTTGAACTGAAAATAAGTTTTGGAGATGATTGACAATTGTTGAGGAGTTAAAATTCTAGAGCCTTTAGATCTGATTGTGGTCTCTAAATTCGGTTAGAGTTTATAACCTCGTTCTTTAGTTTTCTGGGTGATTCTATTTCTTCATTGTTTATTATGTTTAACCAGCAAGCTGTGAACCGGACAGCGTGACATGAGATCCAACAGACGTTTCTAGCGTTTTATATATAAGGAAGATCCCGTATTTACTGAAGTAATATTCCAATCAAATACTATTTTAAACCAGTGTATTGCGTCAGGTGAGTTTTCAGGGTTTACAACTGCTTAATTACCAACAACTAAAAGACTTACAATTTGCGATGCATTACATCCATCGAATCCAAAGCACGACCACGCACCAACTCCAAGAATTCCATGTGGGTGATAGCCAAAAATATAGTTCTGGAAATATTGGGATTGAAAATGTAATCAGGAATTATATATCCATTACTTTTTCAAACATTTTCATATTCTCTAAAAGTGCAATGTTTTTTCTTTTCCTAATAGCCAATCATATTTGCAAACTATCTAATTACCTGTTTCTTATCCAATTCCACCGTTTTATGAAGCCTGATCGGAAAGTAATTTGCAAACCACTTATGCAGGGAGAGCCTTCTGAACCAATTATCTCGATAACCTCCTCGTTTTGGAGATTCCTTATCATAATAGTACCAGCAAGCGTATAACGCCAGAAAAATCCATTGTCCAGTGAAGAATAGAACAAATGGGGCTAATTGGCAGAGGCAGCAGAATGGATAGATCAACACGAACCAGACTAGGACCGCAAAGTAGGCTCGTTGACGTTCCCATGGCGAAAAGAAATTGACCCATTTTATATTGGATAGGTTTTTGTGAATTCGGTAATTCAACATTGTCTGTAAAATTTCGTAAATCTTTATTTAAATAAATCGAAAAGACTTGTTCTAGATAAAAACAACCTCCAGCCTAAAAGAATTGAAAAAGAAAAATTCTAGGAGTTCCTAAAATTAAAAAAAAACCAAAAAGCGGGAATATTTGAAGAGTTTCAAAAAACAAAATCAACCTTCTAGAATACTCCAGAAAACTAATAAACATTGGAAATTAAAAAAGGGAAACTCAGGTAAATGGAGTATTACAAAATGCATCAAGGAAGTTTGTGAGTTTGGAAAAAGGTCAAATTTCTAGAAAACTAAGAGATTTTTTGTGATTTCAAAAACTAAAGCATAAAGATAAAATGAAAAAGTTGAAAGTGAGTCAACCAAGGCAATGAACAACCACTTTTTATACACGTACAACTAGACTACACCATTACGCTACAGGAGTCTCATTGACTTTCACCCCATCAAAAAGTGATAAGATAAGAGAGCCCGAAAAAATTTCGCAATGCAATTTTTTATTCTACTCTGGCAACCCCAGTTTTTTATAGTAAGAGTAGGAGAGACCACAGTTTGCACAAAATATTGCCTTATCGTAACTCCATTTCGTTGAAATTCAGAATTTAGCTCCTCCCCTCTCTTTAAAGGAGAACTTTGATTGCTGAGTGGAAAGCGTGTTTGTGTGATTGGGAAAAGTAACAAAGTGTAGCAAGTAAAACTTTTGAAAACAGGACGTTTAAATTACAAGAGAAAAAATTATGTTTCAGAACATTTTTTGAAGTGATGAAAAAAAATAGATGAAAACGTGACAGAAGGATATACACTTGTCAGACCGCTTTCTAGAGCAAAGCCTTTTAAAAAGAAAGCAGAATTTTGAACAGAATAAAAAAAATCTATCACTAGTTAATTTTGATTGGGGTTGACTCATCATGGTATGCACAATCATGTTTTTTCAGTTACTACCGGCATACGTTTATCAACAAAAAAGCTTTCAACAAAATAATGACAATTGAAAAATACAATCACACTCCACTAGACATTATGTCCACCACCCGTATTGTTGTTATTATTGGATTGGCTTGGTGCTCGGTGCCTTAACTGGGAGACACTGTTCACCGTCATCTGATTATCAGTATTCATTAAGTCTCCTCTTCTCAATTGAACTCTTCCGAATCCTCCTCCATAAATATCCGCATTGGATTTCATGAAAGTAGCAATTGAGCGAACAGTGAAATTGTTCAAGACCTCGTTTGCCGCTTCCTCGGGCTGCAAAATTTAGGTAATTAGAAAGCAGTAATTAAGAGTTTGATTATTCCGCAACTCCCTCTAACTACCTGAGCAACTGAGTCTGCATCCATACTGAATGCCCTTTGTACTTTCGGAGACGGGACTTTGTCTTCTGGTTTTACAGCTGCACTTCGTCGAGTTACAATACCATCTAACTTATTTTCGACGAGAGTGAGAGTACCTGGAAAATAATGGCTAATTTTTTTCGCGAAAATACGAACAGAGCTTGAGAAAATCGAAAACTGAAAAATTTCAGATTTACAACCTATTGTAATTTAATAGTTCCACTCAACTTAAAAGTAGATTTTCAATGTTTGCATATTCTTAAACTAAAATTTTGTTTTAATTAATAACTATCTGTCAAAGCTAACTCAAACAATCTCAATCATCGAAAGTATTTTGAAAAAAACAGAAGCAGTTGTAATTAATTAGTAGCTTTGCATAAATGACTTAATTTTGGTTCAGTTCTCAAAAAGTACTCACCAAATATTCCATTCTCTACCGCGATAAATGTATTTCTGTTGACAACTTTAGTAACGGCCATTCCGAAGAAAAAAATTATCGATATGATAGGGGAAAACTGAAAATGTATTACATTTCGAAGTTATTACAACAATTTTTTGAATTGACACAAAACAGAAAAGCTCGAAAACTCAATTTTCTAATTATTTTCTAACTAATTTTCTAACTTTCAATTTTTGTGAATAATTTGCATTTGTAATCTTTTGTTTACTTCGAAACGTCGGAAAAACTCCAATTCTCTTACCGTTGCATTATTCGGCATCACATCTCCCAATCCAATTGTGGATAACGAAATGAATGAAAAATAGAAACACAAAAATATGGACATTCCACTTCCCGCCTCTTCTCCAGATAATTCATCATAGAAATAAATAAAAACTGTGCAAGCACCGAGATAAGCGGCTAATAGGAGGAGACATGCTTTGATTGGAAGACTGATGATTTCATCCTCATCCACGTGCTTGTCTCCGTTCAGTTCTCTAAAAAGTTTGAAGCTGTCAATAGTAAAATTAAAAAAGATATGTTATTTCTACCATCTAAAAATTTTTTGAAATGCTTTAGAAATTTAAAAAAATCCTGAAATATATGAATTTTCTCACCTAAACTTCTGAATTCCCAATGCATACAATTTCGTCAGATGAACCAAAAAAAATTGACCCAGGTCTCGAAGAACCACAAGTGTGACTGGAACAAAAATGAATCCATAAAGGCACACAAGAAATTGGCCGAGTGTTGATTCAGGAGCAATAGATCCTGAAGAGTTTGAATGTTTGAAAAAAAATTTCACAAAAATTACCGTATCCAGTAGTTGTGTATACATTCATACTGAAGAAAAATGCACTTTCAAATGTCCATTTCCAGTTATTTTGCGGATCTTCTAGTTTGTAGTAAGTGCTACCTTTGTACTGCCCCTCCAGTTTCATTAGTTCGATATAGGCTTCCTGAGAATTGAAAAAAAAATTATTAAAAAATTTAGAGCGAGAAGCACTGTTTTGAAAATGGATAGTTTTTATCTGCAGAAAGCTTACCCGAATATAAACTTTCATCTCTGAATGTGAAGTTGTCGTGTTAATATCATTTACAGATTCAGTCATATTCTCAGCCAATTTTTCCAGTAACTCTTCGAGATGATGAACATGTCGGAGTGTTTTCTGAAAAAAAAAAATACATTTTGAAGCAATTAAAAAATGTTCAGACTGGAACTATGCCAGTGTCTGCAAAATATTAAACTCCGTCAGATCTCTGAGTATGCTTCAAGCGAGCCTTAAAACCTTTCATGCTCCCCAAAAAATCTCACTGCTTTTTCATGTCGACTCTCCACGGACCAAAACATTGCAGCACCCAGCAACGTATATAAAAGGACCAAAATTACGACACAAATGTGCCGAAATCCTATTTGCTTCCTATGAAAAGCAAACCAATACATGGATTTATCGAATCGTCGCAGTGTTGGAATCACGGGCTGGCCAAGTGCTCCAGGACTACTGTATCTGCTGATACCATCTCCATGAGTGCTCATTCTATGTTGCAGATGGCTGGGAAGCTTATTGTAGAAGTCTCGATCGCGACCTAAAAATGTTTTTCGTTAATTTTGCTTAAAGCCACTGTACCTGTCACGGTATAGTTATTTCTCTCATAATATTTCTCAATCGGGTCTTCTGGATTTCCAACTTTTGTTCCAATCGTCGCGTTTCCACGATCTATGGACGCGTGTCTGGTGTACCTGTGAGTACTAAATTGACTCTTATCCAACTCTGAAACACTGTCTAAGCGATTTCTTTCTTCCAGATCTGCATTGCTGACGCTTACGCTGCGGCTGAAGAAAATAATTTTTGAGGTCAAAGAAAAAAAGCCAAAACATTAATATGTAAGTAACTAAGCACTTGTATTGGATCTAGCCACTAAACAAGTTTTTAGTGACTTTACATTATTGTGGTAATAAAGTACTACAAGTCACCGGAAGTACGAAAAAACATTAAATCTGTGTCAAATTTTTTCAGAAACTCACGCTCTTGGCCTTTCATCGTCCGAATCTTCCAATGGATCCTCTAATTTTTGAAGATCTGGCGATAGTTTGGGAGATTCTCCACCGGATATCGCAGTTTTTCGTTCTTGAGAGTCTGGATTCTCCAGATTCTGTTCCTCATCGTGTAGACTGTCTCGCTCTTCGTGGATTTCTGAATAAATAAAAGTTTCAAGGAAGAAAATAATGAAAAGATTTCAGGGAATTTGGAGACATTCGAACTTGAATACGATTGAAGACCCAAAAACCTTTTTTTTTATATTTCGTTCTGAAGTTACGGAAATCAAGAAAAAAAAATATGTTTCACACTTTGAACATTGCAACGATAAGAAAAACTTTTTCAAACTTCTCGAAGATCAACAGTTTTCCGGATTTTTTTTGCTTTCAAAAATTTTTGAATTATTTCGTGATGAATAATCTATCTCAATTGACTTAAGCTGTATGCAAATCTGTTCGTCGAGATGTCTGGAAGAGTAACCTACCTTCAAGTACAGCCGTATGTTTTGGAACGCTGCCTCTAGGAAAATGATGATTCTAAAAAGACAAAAAAAATTTAATAGTTTTGAAAAAGAAAAACATTATTACACACCTCGCTGGTCATTCACAATTTGTCGAGAAGACGCAAAAAGTGTCGTTATGATCAGAAAAAAGGAAAAAGGTGATAATGACGATTTGACGAAGATTGATTACTTTTATTGTCTTCTGAAATGATAATTGTGAAGGTAAAGTTGATAGTTTTCGAGAAAAATGAGAGAAAGATGAGAAAAAAGATATGATTAAACACCTGAATCTGTCTGAACTTGTTATTTTAAATATGTTATCAATACTAAAAAAATTCTTGCCGAATTGTGCGAAAGAAATCCAATCTATTTCGCTAATGTTCACTTTGGAATTACTGGGAACATTTTTCTCATTCTTTTGTGTTTTTTATTATTGTTTTATGTTTAACTTTTTATTGCCTTGTTTCTTTTTTCTTTATCTTTGAAAAAAAATCACATCACCAAAAAATAGGATACTTGAAAAATTGTGATCATTTTGACCTTAAAATTGTTTTTATCTAGTTTATTTGCAGGAAAATTCTAGTTTTTTTCTAGAAAATAAATATTTTGGTATGCTAGACTTAAATGCTAGACTTAAAATATTTTGGTATGCTAGACTTAAATTTTGACAAATTTTTCGAACTGCATTACATAAATAATCGAATGTTTGAATATTTTTGTTGAAGAATTACATAACTTGAATAATCCAAAAATCGGAGTACCCTAAACGTTAATCAACCCGGTGTTTTCTATTTTATACACACATTTGTTTGCAAAATCGTGTTACAAGATTAAATTCGGACACAATAGAAATATTCTAAGGGTCAATTTGTAAACACATATTTTTTGGGTTCAGAATTATGAGGCGTGACGTATACCGACTTTTCGAGAAGAATTAAATGGAATTCTTGAAGGGATTAATATATAAAAGGATTACCGTAATCTTAAGAAACAGTAATCGGGTCATATGTCAACATTTCGAGACCTAGTCTTTGGTTCTTTGAAACTTAGACTGTGTAGAAAAATCCGATTTTCTCGTTTTTCGTTTTTGTGACGCTTTGATCTAAATAGTGAGAACGAAAAAAGGAAAAGTTTTGCTAAATATTATCTGACATAGTAAAATAATACCAATGCTTGTGTAATTTTACAATCCTTGTATTATGGTTTTTATTGGAAGAATATCAGCGCGAAGTTGATTATTTCAGTAAAAATTCAAATAAAATGAGTTCCACAAATAGAAATTACAAAACGACATTAAAAAAAAGAATCAACAAAAATAAATAATCGAAATGAATCAAAATAAATTTTGTAAACTTTTCACATTGGAGCAACAGCATGCACATTGGCATGAGTTGAATAACGTTTTGGGAACATTCTCGAAACTTTTGTTCTAATTTTTTTAGTTGTTAGTAGAAGTAATAAAGGTAGACAAATTTCGGGAATGTAATTGAGAACGGAGAAAATTATGACCAGTGGACTATTGTAATTGATGTAGGTTGAAGGTTTGATAATGACAAAAAACTCAGTCCCAACGCAAATGATCTGAAAAATTGGATTTTAGATTTTGAGATTTTTGAATAAAGCCATTGTTGAATGTAACACTCAAATATTTCCGAGATACAAAGAAAGGCATTATAGCCACCAGTGGCCCGCTGACTGCCCGCTGACTTCAACAAACTCACCCCAATAATTAAACTGGTTAACAACAACTGATAGAATAAGAGTTTCGATCTTTCTTTATCAAATCTAGAGGAAACATTATCCTCTGACATTTTACGAAAGTTAATATAAACAAACATCACCATAAAACAGACCATTGAACCGAATGGAAACATGTAAAAGATGCGATTAATAAGCTGAAAATTTTTGGAACGTTTTTTTCGTTTTCCGGGACAATGGAGACACTCACAATCTGATGTCCATCAATACCAATATCCATAAATCCAATCTTCTTGACAAAGTGACGTCTCACTTCTGCGGTGTGAATGAAAATAACCGATGCAATACACGAGAGAGTCAGGCAGATGATAATTACGGCGACAATTCGGATTCTTAATATTTGTATTATTAGTATCAAATTGTTAGGTTTCTAAGTTCTTATTAACTTTACGTTTTGATTTGGCCAAAATTTAAGTTTTAAAAAATGTTGATCTCATGTTTCCTAATGATTATATTAGGTGAAACAAAACTATGGGAGCCGGCTGGCGTAGTTTCAATTAAAAAAAAAAACTACAGTAATACTGACCTAGTAAACATTCTTCTCCAAATAGCTTTATACAATCGACCTATCATTTGATTAGCAGTCAATGGGTACAACATCAGAATTGGTAAATAATTGAGAACCATGTCACAATACAAAGATAACTGGAGAAGAAATCCATGGATACTAAAGACCCATGTGAATACCATGGAAAGCATGGTAATAAAATTTAAAATTATAAGAAGACCCGATTGAAATGCGACCATTTCAAACATGACGTGTGAGATGAAATGGCGATAAAAGTATTGGTGAATGAAAGCACAGTGAATGAAAACTGTAGAGAGTTTGACACCATTAAACATGATGGGTTTCGGCGGGAAAAAATATAATTCAGTCTCTTGAAAGCCATTAGAAAAATCTGTAGAGTCTGTACCGGATAATTTTAGATAATCTGAAAGTGAAACTTGATAGGAGAACATTCTAGAAATTTCCAGAATGAAAATGAAGGTGTAAATAAATTCTGAAGGGAGAAAGGAGGGGGAGGATATTGGAAATTAGAGGGTTTGAGAGGCATTTGACAATGGTAAATGGGAATGTAAATATCGTTAAAATTTTCTTTAAATCATATGCTTGAAAAATTAAAGGTTATTGAAAAAAACATTATGAAACCTCAAAATTGGGACGCGTTCATTTTCTGATTGTGAGCATATACAGGGTGGCGCATAATTACCCGCACAAATGAAAACAGTAATATCTTTGGACATAAGTAAGATGGAAGCATGAAAATTGGCAGAAATGTACCTCTATGTTTGATACACATCCACTAAAATTTTCAAAACGTTTCCACAAGTTTAAAGTAGTTTAATGATTGTCCGAAGATAAACGGCAAAATTTTTCTCGCACGCCGCTGTTTCCGCATTTGAATTTATGTAACTTCGTGCTAGATTATACGATTCGATTTGTACAAAATTTCACGTTGGTTGGGCGCATCTATCCAGAGATATCACTCTAATAGTCACCCTACATCTGGCTAGAATTCGGGTTAAATTTGGCCTTGTGAACCGAATTTCAATAAAAAATGCGTTGACAAGGCTACAATTTCTTATAAACATTTTTGATTTAAATTTCATTAAATTTCAACACAAAGAGACATAAATATTAGGTTGTTAAGACAATTTATTTCAAAAAGACGAAAATTTTCAAAATTTGGCCTCTTTGGAAAACTGGTGGCTACGAATTTGATTATTTTTGTAGGCGCCTGAAGTTTTAGAGATGGTTTTGGAAGAGTTGATCTTGACACTCATGAATTTTCAGCCACTCATTATTATTACTACAGTTTTTATGGGTAGGCAAAGTTGAGCTCAAATGACAGATAAGCCGCGTGCATTCCAAAGCTTATGTTGTTAGTGACCACAGTACGATCCCCTTGGTGATTAAAATATTTTCAAAACTATGAAAAATTATAGAAAAAGGTTGTATCCCTGCATATCCGAAATACATACTATAAAAAACTTTGTAAGAATTCCGTTAGAACATATTGAATTGCACTAAAAGTGTCATTTTTATGATTTCATGAGATTTTCATGAGATGAAGTATTTTTGAAAAACGATAACTCAGCTCAAAATTGATCACATAAACTGAAACTTGGCCAGTTTATTGATGAGTTTTGTAAATTGTTGCGCTCTAAATTTGAGCTCAGAACGACGATTCATTCAAACTTTATGGCAGTACAAACTTTTGTGCGGGTAATTATGCGCCACCCTGTACCGTAAACACTCTATTAGAACGCCACCCGAACCGTCAAATTTGACCCCATGTATCTCATTTTCTGTGATAGATATCAAATAGCAGTTAAAGGAGGCGAGACAGCAAAAATTTCGGGGGACAGTTCGGGGGACGAAATCGCGCCGCGCTTATGTAGACCATCGGTCGTCAGGTGCCTTCGCGCCCCCGTAGCTCAGCCGGTAGCAGCGCTGTACCCCTAAGCTGCTTGTCATGAGTTCAACCCTTCATGGGGGTTCTCTATGCAAAATATCAGGAAAGCTTTTTTTTTTGGTGTCTGGCCTCCTTTAACTAATAAAATGTTGCTGATATCATGATAAACATTTTATTAGTTGACAACGTTTTGACGTCTTTCAAAAAAACTGAGATATATATGCTCAAAATGGACGGTCCGGGTGGCGTTCGTTTTAGAGTGTTTTTACGGTATACTTTCTGTACAATAAAATCTGGGCAAGGCGCGTGGGCTAATGTGACACGCCGCTTTTTGAAACGTGTGAGAAAAGAAACAATTGAACGCTTTTCATAGAGATGTCACATCAGCCCACGCGTCTTGCCCAGTTTTTATTGTACAGACAGTATGATTCTTTTTTTATTAAGTAAAATTACCTCGCAGAACTCCTCAAAATCGAATTTGAACTTTTGCTTCAAATTCGTTTTTCCCATTGCTCCTCACACGTTGTCATTTTTTTAACTACAAAACGTATATGTAATTGAACATTTTCAGAAAAAAAAATCTTAGAATTTAGAAATTTTCAAGGACTTCAAACATTTTTTCAAATATTTAGGACATAATTATTTAGAATACAATTTTGAGTTATATGTATGTAGCTTTGTGTGTGTGTATTTTTTCAAAGCACATTATGAAAAAAAAATTATATCACTCTTAAGAGGAATTGAATTAAAGTTCAGACACATGTACACATCGTTATTTCCTTTCTGTCACACGTTGGTTTTTTTCAGGTCAGCTGTCATTTTTATGCACATTTATTCACACAAATAAAAGTGTTTAGTTTTTGATAATTCAAAAAAAAAGGTAATAAAGATGGCTCTGACTTTTTGCGTTCTCAACAATTGTTTCCTATTTCATTATTAGAAGAAATCAACTAATTATTCACAAGTATTACATAGATCGTGTTCGAAAAAAGAAAAATATTTATCCTGACTCACTTTTAAAAATTATCCCACATTCAGAAGAAGTCTAAATACCATCAAATTGTATTTTTCAAAAGTTGTTTGTTAGCTTGTGGGTTTATGAAAATCAAGACCAAAACACAGAAAAATGGAATATAAAAATGCAAAAGAATAGAAAATTTTAGAACCTAAAATTTTAACCAAATATTTTAGTTCTGCTCAATTCTGTTAAAAACAATTTTTACCGAATTATTTTTCAGAAAATGACGTCAGCGTTTGAAAACATATCCGATATATCCTATTTCGTTGCTGTAATTTTCTGCATCTCCTGTAATATTTTACTATTGTACTTAGTCTACACAAAAAGTCCCCGACACGTTGGAACCTACAAATATCTGATGACTTTTTTTGCTGTTAATGGAATTTTACACTCTATTTTTGATTTCATCACAAAACCCATTTTTTTAATGCTTGAAGGAAATGAAATCCATGGCAATATACTAGTGTATTTTGTGAGAAATGATAGATTTCCGTCAAAATGGTGGGCAATTCTAGCTACAGGTAATTGAGTGTTTTCTTGGAAAATTTGTAATAAAAAGTTTTAGAAATTTACGGATTTTTTTTGGCTGTAATTTTTGTTATATTTGCTGTTCACTTCATTTTTCGATATTGGACAATTACCAAGTGAAAAATAATTAACCAATTAATTGAAAACATAACGAATTTCAGGAATCCCAAAATTCGCTTTTTTGATTTCCCATATTTTGTTTTTTGGATAATTGGAAGTTATTATTTTGGTTTGGAATATTCATATATTCTGCATGTTGAATTTTCAGAGAGACCCGATAAAACCGAAATTATAAAGTATGTTGGTTAAGGAGAAATTTGAAGAAATTCAAAGAGAATTTCTGGGAATCTGAAATTTCAAAAACAAAATCTGAACGCATGAAAAATCTTAATTCCGCTGAATATTGCAAACTTTTGTTTATCCAAAAAACTTCAGATTCAGAAGTTCGAAAAATTCAGGATTGTCGAAAAAAAACTGAAGTTTTTTTCCGCAGTTAAATTTTTCAGACCAAAGATGCTGTCCGATTTTGGCTATTCTATGGACAATATTACTTATATGGCAGCTAGATTTGTCAAATTTTCGGAGGAACAAAATCAATTAATAATTGACTGGCGTCAAGTTGGATTCTACTTCGCCGCTGTGAAAACGATGATTCTCAGTTTAATAATATTAACTTTTTGTGGGATTTCTATCATGAAAACCATACGGAAAGATTTGGAAAGTTTGCAATCCAAGGAAAAAATAAAATTGGAACTCAATTTATTTTTAGCTCTGATAGTTCAGGTAAGCTTTCAAAAATTAACAACTTTAGAAGTAATAAACTTAAATTTAGTTTAAATTACTAAATAATTATTGAATTACTAATAATTACTAAATTACTAATTACTAATTAATTAAAATTCTTAAATTTAGTGCAAGTTTAGTTTCGAAAATGTTTTTATGTTTTAGACCATAATTCCAATAGTCGTGATATATTGCCCATTCCTCTTGATGTGGAATTTCCCTATCTTTCTCGGAATAGAAACAGCTCGGTTGACTGGAATAGGCGTAGCCTTGTATCCAGGAATCGACCCATTGGCTATAATGTTTATTGTTGCTAACTACAGACGTGCTGTTTTAAATCCCTTCCGACGAATCGTTCTCAGGCAAAACGTTGTTAGTTATACAGTGAGAGATATTTCATCAATGAGCCGGTCTGGTTCAAAAATTGGACCAACTAATTGATTTAACTTTTTTTTTGAAATATTGGAAAAAATAAAGAACAGGAATTGAATTTTTTTCTGAAATTAAGAACTGCAAAAAATCAGCTTTATAAGGAAAAAAGACCAAGCAAGAAAATGAAAAAAAATACTGAAAAAAATCGAAGACGAAGTTTGTTTTCACTAAAATACAAAAAAGTCAGAATCAATGTTTTGAGTTGGTTTCGAAAATACAGAAATAGGTAGGAAATTAAAAGTTTTTTTGTTGAAAAATGAAATTATGGAGAAAATTGGTGAAGCCAATCATTGGTCTATTGCGATCGAATGACAGTACGAATGACCTGTTGCTGGCCGGTCTGAAATTTTTGGCTGTAAATTAAAAAAAAAACTTTCGAAAAAAGTTTGTGAATAACTTAAAATTTAGTGATATCCAACTATTTGTAAAATTAGCAGCATTATACAGTGTTTGTTAATAAATGTAAAAGCATGAATTTGTCAAAGGTTCTATTTTGTGCTTATAATTTAAAAATTCGTTAGTCTATAAACTAAACATTTTGCAGAAAAAGCCATACGTTTGTGCAGAAAATGAAAAATGTGAGTATTTTATGGGGTTAAGCTTGAATATGTCCCATGCGAAGACTATTCACCGCTTGTTGAGATTCCGCAGTCTGAAACAAAGTTTTGAATATATTTTTTACAGTAAAAAAGCAAATTACCTCAGCAGGATTATAACGAGTCTCAATTTCGCCGGACGATTCGACAACTGAAAATGATTTTTTTTTTAAATAATTGCACATTACGAGAACTTCAGAACTTCAAAATATCGAAAATTCTAGATTATTAGGCATGTCCATTCAGAAATCCTAATATCCAGAAATTCTGAAAATGGATGCATTGCTCTCCTGAGTTCTTCGAAATACATCCTATTCATAAATTCCGATATATTTCAAAACTTCGAAACGTTTTATGAACTCGGAAATGGTTTTTTTTTTCAAAATTGCCATCCGAAATTACATGCATTCTTTTATACAATACCTTGGTACTGTGGTGGCGGTGGTGGCCACTGTCTCTCCATTTTTTTGGTCGGAATGTGCTTCTGGAGCACTTCGACGAGCTCACGCTCGTGAGCCTCAGCTTCTGGTGGTGGCCATTGGACAACAGGCATGTGTTGGGGTCCTGAGAGGAGATGGGGTTAGTTGGACAAAGATTCAAAAATGATTGAAAGGTGGAAAAAACTGGGATGCTGTGGAAGGGGAAGGGTACAAAGGGAATGAGTGCTAGACGGGAAATGTGGAATATAATTTTTCAAAGTCCTCGTTTAGGTTTGGGACCCCTTTATGAATATGGTTTCTCTAATTGTAAGATGTATGCTTTTTGATTTCAAGGTCTTTCGAAGAAAAATTAAGAAAAAGATTCCTCGACCTACCAAAATCAGTTAACGACGACTCGTTCTCCGGTGGTGGCCAGACGCGATTGATTCGAGAAGTTTTTCCCCAGACAGCTTGTTTCAAAACGCCATTCTGGTCCTGTTGAATCCAAGCGGTGTCGTCATTGGCCTTGACGACAAGTGGGGAGTGGCTTAAGAATAAGGGCATGATTAGTAGGTAACAACATTTCTCAAAAGCCTCAAAATCCAAAAAAATGTTGCCCTACACTTTTATACACTATGGTACAAAGTTCTATGTTTTTGTTATCTCAATATAACATACTTTCATCACCCCTCCCAAAGAGATTCTCTCAAAGACGTACCCTTCCTTGACCAATTCATCTTGCGGTGGTGGCCAAACGGCAGACATGCGAGCCGGCTTATAGATACTTCTTTGCAACTCGTTTTGCTCATTGTTGACTGGCACCCAATCCTGAGTTTTTGTCTTTGGTGCTGCCTCACGTTCGTACACTGGCTCTTCTGGGAACTCGTTCCATTGGACCTTTTGGTACGAGGCTGGTTGAGCTACGATAGTTCTCTGAAAGTTGGGAGATGTGGTAAACAGTGGAGACTCGGGGTTGAAGGACCTCAAGAAAAAATTATAGATTTTGGATAGTTTCAAATATTCATGTAACATTTGAAAGCTTATATTAGTGAAATATTCATTTTTACTCACTTGAATCTCTTTCTCGCTCAACTCTGGAATAGCAATTTTGCCGACTTGTGGCTGTTGAATCTCCACGGGAACACGGCGTTGGGTTTGCCAGCAGGCATCGTCCTGGAAATGGATAAGACGTTATTATCATACTTTTGAGGAACGCTCAGTCCTATTTAGGCTCAACAAGACCTAATTCGGCCGGAAAGTTACCATTGGTTTAATTGGTTTTCGATTCAAATCGGCATTGAGATACGGAGCTTGTTGATGAGCCAACATTTTTGAGGCTGAGAAATTGTTCGAGATAAGTAATTAGGAAAAATTAATAAAAAACAAGAAATCAACGAAAATATAGCTTATTCAGAAGAAGAAATCATTCTTATAATAAATAAATGAAGTTGCGTCTCTTTTTTTCTCTGTCAGTCTGTCCGCAAATTTTGAAAAGCTTGAAAATTAAATATTATTTGACGTGAAATTTAAAGAAGAGTGAGTCGCGAAGTGAAGAACAGTAAGAGAAAATGTTAACTCCAACTGTCTGAAACGCCGGAGGCGCGGCAAACAGACTAATATCAGATAAAAATTGACTAAAATTTGTTTTTTTTTTCACCTAAAAATATTATTTTTGTTTTTTCCTCCACAAAAAATCACATCAAAATGAAATCTGAGGGAGAAGAGAAAAGTGGTGGGAAAAGGGTTTGCATTTTGAATTGAAAGAAAACGTAAAAATATTTTACTTCAAAAGTGGAGTCTGAGAAAAAATTTCAAAAGCGGAAATTTTGAAAAATATTCCAGTTCTAAAAAAGTGTTAAATTGAAAGTTTAATCAGAGAAAATCAAGAAAATGGTGACACAAAGTGTGTTTTCTTTCTTTTCTCCCGCCCCCAATTGCCCAACTGATGCCCTGGTATCTCGATTTTTGTCTTACAACTCTCTCGAAAATCCACAATATCTATCATTTTAGGGAGCAGCAGAACGGAAAAATTTTGTGTAAAAATTGATGTGAGAAGCTGAGAAAATGAAGAAAGAGATTTTTCGACGGGGCAACAAAAAAAGGTTTTGGCACTTTTTTATTGACGTCAGGCAGGGATTCGGGGAATTCAGGAGGTTTTCCAAATTTCCGGTTTCTGCCATCAAAAATAGAAAGTTTAAATCTGAAATCTACACGAATCCAATCAAACCAGAATCGCATATATTTTAAAGTACTTCAAAGGAAATTTTAATTCTTCCAAAGCTTAGGATAGCAGGAATGGAATTTTTGTGAATTCAGTTTTTTGTATCCGCCAAAGTCAGAAATTTCAGTGACGTCTTCTGACCAAAACCGGTCACTCAAAAAATTAGATTTATCTTCGTAATAAATACAAAAAAATGAGTTATGGTGCCATGTGATTCAACGATTCGGATTTTTAGAGTTTCGGATAATCAGATAACAAAGCTTCACTAGAACACCATTTACCTTTGTTTACTTGATTTCTCTAGATGAGAAGAGACAAATCGTGATCATAAAGATAATTGGGGAGGAAAGAAAGGTTTTGTGAAAAATAAAGAAAACAGACGGGAGTTTTTGACGGGCGTGAAAAACAAAAAGTGACAAATACTTTGAGAAAAGACTATGAGAAAGAGAAATAAGTAATGTATAATTATTTTCCTATGGAAGGGTTGAGAAATGTCATAAACTATGAAACCACAAGAGGATAAAAGAACTTTTGATAAAGAAAATGTCTTGATAAAAATTAAGTTGTTTTTAGGAAAACCCAACATTGATTGAATAAAAATTCAAAATGATCAGAAATCGGTAAAATCACTTAAGCGCACAGTTTTTGATTATATATTTGCGCTGACTCGAATGATCCTAAAACCACAGTAGTGATTCAAAAACTAAGGAAAAACAATATGAAATGTCCAAAATTTTTATATCAAATAATTTTAATTTATATGATTTTGTTGAAATTCAAAAATGATCTTACCGCCAATATCACAGCTTTTGGTCCTCTCTCAGTTTGTTGCATGTTGCTTGCCGGTTGCTCTCTCACTTCCGAGTCTGCGACCCAACGTTTAGCTCCTTCCAGTTGTTGGCCTTTTTGAACGGTCTGAAAATATTGAACATCAAAAGTTGGGACAAATACAAGCGAGCTGCATATGGAAATTGAGGAAACGCTAATGTTTTTCAAGAAATCTAGTGAAAAATAAGAACAGCAAAACTGAGTCGCCGATATTGAGAAGGAAATAAACTCAGAGATGAAAAGTGAGAACTGTATTTGTTTAGCTGTCGAAGAACAGTCAAGATCCTTTACCCTCCACCCCCTCTTAACTGATTGCTCACCATGTGTTTTGGTAGATTTTTCTAGAGTTCTCTAGGTCTCTGGAAGGTCCATCAGAGTTAGTCACCTTTTTGGAAATGAGAAAGTATAAAAATAATTCATTGAATTGATTGAAGTTTATGATTCACTAAAGCAATACAACGATAATCTAACATAAGGAAGATACTCGAAGTGGGCATCGATGTGTTTATGAACTTACCCAGATCTTCAAAAAAGATCCTAAACTCATCAAAATTAAAAAAATAAAACTAGAAAATGAAGACTAGAACATTCGGTATTTCCATACTCGGTTCAAGTTCGAATTGTTTCTAATTCAAACGGATGTTGCCTGTCAGATATTCTTTAACCATATTATAATACTTTCAAAACCATTTTTTTAGAATTACATGTTGTATTTTAATTTTCCAAAAAAAATGGATTTACTTGCTAGTTACAGCCAATTTATAAGCGAGACCTCATATTGAGCCAATTAACTCACGATTTTCTCTTTTTGTTCTTCTGGCTTCTCTACAAATTTTTGAGCCAACTGATCTGCCTGAATCTGTGGTTTACGGGCCATCACTGGAGACATTGTAGAGTGAACGCCTGCAGCAAGGTCTTGTTCTTGGACCTGGAAAAAGCCCAAATTCAAAAAAGTCTATGAAGAAAGTTTTTTCATGAAACTTTTGTGAAGAAAAGAGAACGGAAGAATGGCGGACGGATGTTTGGTGTAATAGAGGAGCACACAGATGTGACTCTTGAAAGTAAATCTTGCCCGAAATATAGTTTTTTTTTTGGAATTTCTCATCTTCTTTGTTTCATACTTGCAACGGGATGGGCTGGACCGGGTCTCAACAAAAATAAATAAAAATAAAAAGCCCGCATCGAACGGATTTTCGTTACAAACGTTTCAAAAAACTTTCAGAAATTTTGAAAAAACGGGCCCTTCGATGATTTATCAAGTAAGTTTTTTTTTTCAAAAAAATTCAAACCTGAACTGTCTGTCTAAGAGCTGTTTTTCCTGTAGGTGGAGCTACGGCAGTATACTGTTTTGGTTGTTCTGGCTGGGGACCTTGGGTTTGAACCTTGCCAGGCGTACGGCTCCATTTTGGTCCAGTTGCTGCTGAAAATGTTTTACCTTTCAGATGGTATAAAATGTATTTTGATCTACAGGGTAGGTTTGCATCGCACGTTTGGTAAACTGGATTATTCGAGTTACATACCAAAAGCTGTGTAACAACTGCTGATACTAAGGACATGTTTAAAGATTTTTATATTTAATGTAATGTCAGTTAGCTTCCCAATTTTTCGCCCCGTTTGAAAAAATCGGTTTCGAAGCAAACCAAAAGCCGTGAACACCTACCATGAATTTCCTGAGCTACTGGTTGCACCTGTGTCAGGGTTCCTTTTTGAGTTTGTCCCTGTTGAGCTTGTTGCTGAACATGTACAGCTGGTTTCTGTTGAGCCTGTGGAGTAGTTTTTTGTGATGGGACAGCCGGTTTTTGCTGTTGGGCCTGTTGAGTTTGTTTCTGAGCTTGAGCTTGAGCCTGTGCTTTCTTCTGTGCTTCCTCCTGAGATTTTTTCTGTGCTTGCGCTTGTTGTTGCGCAGCTTGTGCTCTCTTCTGAGCGTCTTCTTGCGCCTTTTTCTGAGCCTCTTCCTGGGCCTTCTTCTGAGCCAGCATTTGTTGTTGTTGGGCTTGTTGTTGGGCCTGAGCTTTTTTTTGAGCTTCCGCTTGGGCCGCTTGCGCTTTCTTCCGGGCGTCCTCTAGGGCATTCTTCTGTGCTTCCTGAGCCTTAGCCAATGCCTCTTGCTGAGCCTTTTTTTGCGCCTCGGCGTGAGCTTGGGCCTGTTGTTGAGCCGCTTGAGCTTTTTTCAAGGCCTCCTCTTGTGCTTTTTTCTGGGCTTCTTGGGCTCGAGCTAAAGCTTCTTGTTGAGCTTTCTTGGCTTGTTCCTGAGCAGCTTTCAAGGCAGCTTCTTGCTGAGCCTGCTGTTGGCTTTGGGCCTGTTGGGCCTGTTGTTGAGACTGGTTGGCTTGAGCCTGACTCTGGGCCTGAGCAACTCTTGCGGCAGCTGCCTGCAGAGCTGCAGCTTGCTGAGCTTTGGCGAGTTGTTGAGCTTCAATCATTTTTTGATGATTTTCCAATGCTTTCTTCTCTGCTTCGGTTTTTTCGGTGGATTGCGTTTGTTGGACAATCACTTCGTTGGCTGGAAAATATAAAATGTTGTAACTTAGCTCAAATTTGATTGATTGGAAACAAATAAATTGATTCATAAAAACTTTGAACCATCAAAGAACATCTCAAAATCATTCAATCTGAATTTTGTATAGGCTTTAAAATTAAAAGTTCTCATCTTTTCATTAAAATTTGAAGTAAAATTGATTTGATCATCACTTACCTTGACGTTCACTAGCCATATTGCCGATTTGGCTCAAAACCTGTTGCGCAGCTTGCTGTGGTGTTTGAGCCACCCGGATACCGAACGACTTTCGGCGAGTGGTGACGACAATCTAAAAATAGTTCTTATTGCTCCATTTAGTCTCGTAACTATCAATTACCTCTCCATCTGATTCCTCTTCAGATGATGTTCCATCGTGTCTGTCGATTCCTGAAGACGTGGATTCTTGTTGTGAAGGATTTGTAGAAGTTTCGGAACGTTTTTTGAGGGTTACGACGATAACTAAATGGCAAAACTGAGAACTTGTTAGAATAGGAAAAGGAGAGAAAGTTAGCTTTTTGTCAAAAAAGTTAGTCTGTGAAAAAAAACAGAAAATCAAAAAATATTTTTTGGAATCTATTTGTCATTAACTATTGGGGTTATTTTCAAACTTCTCTCAGTCTTAAGTCTTCAAATATGTTTCAAATTTCATCAAAAATTCATGAAAGTAGTTAATTAACTTTTTTAATCAAAGAAAAATGTTACATGTTCGAAATTTACGATGCTATACAAATTTGAATTTCGAAGAAGTTGTAATTATCATGAAATGCAAAAAAAAACCAAATAATCACGAGCTTACCAGTTTCCGGCATCTTTCTGAACCCTAAATAATTTTATGGTTGAACTTCAAAAAAGAGTGAGAGAGAACAAGAAGTGTAATCAAAAGAAGCGAGATGTTTTCTTGTGAGGGCCCCCAGGCGGATTTGTTTGAGCAATCGAGGATAAAAAGAGGGAGCGAGAAAAAATGCGAGACACAGAGAAAACGAAAAATCGGAAATATCGCTCCAAAAACCGATAAGAAACAACTGACACATCCCACATCTCTCCCTCTTTCTCTATCGTCTTCTTTAACTTTTTTTCCAATTGCTCATCACTGATCGAAAGAAGAAACAAAACAGCTTGGTTGTTTAGACACCCCCTCAAGAAAGATTTGGGATCACGGACTATGAAAAAACAGTTTAGGAAATGGAGAGACGCAGAGAGGCCAGGTGTGATAAAAGATTGGTTTCGCGGACTGGCGGTGATCTAAATAAACCTGTCAAATTGGCGATGAGGAAGGCTTGAGGGAAAGATTTGGAGGAAATATTAACTATTTGAAAAAAGTCTAAAACCAAAATATTCTTGTTGCAATAAAAACGGCTGTATTATGCTTGACTGAGAAAAAAAAGGTTGAGACGCAGAGAAAAAGTGTCTGCGTCTCCACCGTTTGAGTTCTATTTAGGCTCTCCGCCTCGATATCGCTACCGTATTCAGACTGCAAAAAATACTCTCTAACCTTTTTTTTCTCAGACAAGCATAATAACAAGATATAATTCAAAATCTTCATTTCACACTTCGCGGCACTTTAGGCATTTGGGGAACAACACTTTTATTGAACATTTCGAAATACACATCTCCTTCGTTTTCTCTCTGTTTTGAAAAAACAAAAATTGATTGTTTCCTGACCGCAATTCTTATGTCCTTCGTTTTGAAAATTTTGACGAATTTCTTGTAATTTTGTATTAAAACTTTTCGGAATCCTTCCATAAGAAGAATAATGGTGGGGACTACAATGAGGGCATTTCTGAAATTATTCGGGATATTAGGCAAAAAATAAAAGATAAGGAAAGAATCTTACATGTGAGCCATTGTATCAAAAATCAAATTAAACCATGCCTGTAATTCATCGGAAAAATCCATCAATATTGGAAGGCATTCTGTCATGATTATCAATATTATAAAACCACCAACGGAAATCACTGCTGGACGGATGAGCTGGAAATTTCTATAGTTTTTTCGTGATAGTTTTTTTTTACATGAGATAGAACATTACAAAATAGTATGAAGACACAAGATCTTAATGGGAAATTGAGAAGTTTTTAGAGAGTTTATGAAACAAAGGATTTCAACTTCACTAGTATATTGCATTTTAAACCTTGGGGTTATAGATTCATTGATTTGCCTTATGGGAACTGCCTGTTGTGTGAGACTAGGTTTTGAGGTTTTAGTCCTGTAAGTCTGACTATGTGCCAGATTGTTTTGTTGTCCACAAGTGGTCTCACAATTTTCAGGTACTTTCATGACAGGTGCATTCATGATCAACACATGGTTTTGTTCCCCTTGTTTCATTGTTTGATGACTATATTGTCTTCGTGTGTTTTTGTGGTAAACGGTTCAAGGTTGGATTCTTACCTTACACCATCGCACATTTTCTTGCAACTGATACTTGACACTAAGTGTATAAAATACCATGCTATTATCATGTCGTATCAGCGCTGCCAGACGTTTCCTATTGAGAAAGTATATTGTCTCCAAAATGAGCATAGAAGATATAGTGACTGTCAGACATACAGCAAATACAAATTTCATCATAATTAATTGAGAGATGGCTAACAACGTATAGACAAGAGAAATAAAAAAGTTGGAGAGAAGAAGGATTAGTGAAATCCATGTGCGAGGTTTATTTTCGTAGTCTCTGTAATTCCAAGGCGATTCGAGAATTTATAGCAACAATTTGTAGATTTAGTAGTTTTTGTATTGTTCTTAAGTGAAAAATATTACACAGATACCCGAGTCCAGCTCGTTTTACGTTTCCGAAAACTCACTTGAGCAGGATTGTCGCCATTGCTCTTTCACCTGTAATGCACAAAAGACAGTGAACTCCAAAAAACATATAATGATATCGAAAGATCGCTGCCCAGAAAAGTAACTGAGACTTTGTTTGACTGGAGTTTTTTGAAAACTGGAATATGAACACCAAACATCGGCTGATGACTAATTCCAACCAGCTGAACACTCCTGCTATCACAATCAAGCGGTTGTTACGGTGAGGTGTGCTGAAATTCATTCGACTCGAAAATAGTTTTTTCTTCAAAATTGTACTTTTATCAGTTGATTTTTGCCGCCTGTCAGCGGCTACAATCTTTTGGCAAAACCAGGTCACCCGGATCCAGGTCACCCGGGTCCAGGTCACCCGGATCCGGGTCACCCAAATCCAGGTCACCCGGGTCCAGGTCACCCGGATCCAGGTCATCCGGATCTAGGTCACCCGGATCCAGGTCACCCGGATCCCGTTCACCCGGGTCCAGGTCACCCGGATCTAGGTCACCCGGATCCAGGTCACCCGGATCCAGGTCATCCGGATCTAGGTCACCCGGATCCAGATCACCCGGATCCTGGTCACCCGGGTCCAGGTCACCCGGATCCAAGTCACCCGGACCCAGTTCACCCGGATCCAAATCACCCGGATCCCGGACCCAGGACATAGGACCCAGGACCTAGGACCCATGATCCCCGGGTCACCTTCTCTGAAGCTCAGAGAAGGTGAGAACTGTTTCTCCCTTTCATTTTCCTCTTCTTTCATATTACTCTCCCAGAGGTCAATGGTTTCTAAACCAATTCACGTATTCGTTTTTTCTAGAATCGTAAATTTCTTCCGAAGCATTTTTTTTCCCCACGTGGTTTCTTTGTTAATTTTTTTCATCACGTTTAAATAAGCTTGAATTTTCACTTTCCAAATCGGTGAAATTCCTAAAAAAGATTTTTCCTTTGAACCTAATTATCTTGTTTCCTGTTTGAGATATTAAAACATTATCAACGGATGAAATGTTTCTGATACCAAGAAAAACATTTTGAATATCTTTTACAGGAACCGAGACATATTTGACCAAAGTTACGAAATTATGGTTGTCATTAGTTGTCGGATTACGCCCATACTTTTTGCCGCGCCACCGGCGCTTCAAACAGCTGGCTGTTGCACCTTCGCCGCAATTCAATCTATTCGAATTCTCACCAACAGACGCGCCTAGCTTTTTACGTATAAGAAAGAATCAAAAAATTGCGAACACACTCACTTAGAATTTGCCATGCAAAGCAAACCAAAAAAAGTCACTAATAATGAGATAAGCAATAAAAAAGAAACAACAACGAATTCAAAGACTGAAGAATCCCGATTAGAGTTGAAAGTAAACACCAATACAATATTCACATCACCAGAGTCTTCTGAAAGTTCTTCAGTTTTCCGATTTTTAGGGGTTTTGGATAACTTAGAAATTAATTTGGAAAAACTCACGAGATCTATCCAAAACTTCCTCTTTTGTTGCTAGTTTTACAGAAAAGGCATCAAAATACGAAGATAACATTGTTAAATGAGAAATGAGTCAAATGGAAAAAAGTAAAAACTGAAAAAAAAAACGAAGCACCGCCCCAAAAATATAATCACCTGTTTTTGGTAAAAATTTGTCAGAAAATTTTAGACAGACGACTTTTTTTTCAAGGAAACAAATACATTTTTCAGCAGTTTTAAAAATTCGGAAAAAATAAGAACACCCAGACAAAAAGAAGAAATAGTCAAAAAATAATAAAATACTGAGAATTTTACAACTTAGAAGATTTGTTGTCGAGTATTGCCATTTTCACCAACTGGGTAGCCTTCATTGCTGTCCCCCATCCTAGGGTGAAACCATTTCCGCCATGACCATAGTGATGGACAACCTGAACAAATGAAATTAAAAGTCAAAAAAATAACATCAGTTTAAGAAATAATTATTTGCTCATAGAAATTTGTGAAAATCTTACCGTATAAGGTTTTCCCGATTTCTCACTTGTTTTATCTTGTTTCTCAATTCGAATAGCTTTCCGAGCCGGCCGCAAACCTGACCATTCTCCCAGAATCTTTGGGTCCTATATGTTAAATTTGGTGCCAACATTTATTATATAAAGAAATAATTTACCCTCATGGCTGGATGTAACTTCACATATCTCTCCAAGATATCCTTTCGATCAACATCCGTGATTTCTAAATCCCACCTATTTTCTTGTTTCACCGATCCAATTACAACGCTCTGTTCTCTGAAAGTTTAAAATATCGCTATTTCGGTTTAGAGACACAAATCTCACTTGGGAATGGTAAAAGTTATAAAATCTCTATAATTGAAATGTTTGTGCCAATGTGCGTCTACATCAAGCACTACTCCTCGGATTGGGTATACTGTATCATCGTCTCCAGCCAGTTTACCTCCATTAAGGCCAGCACAATTTACAAGGATATCGAATCCTTCGTCAGCAAGCTAAAAGGCCAGATTGTGAATTTCTTCAACATCAATATTATTCAATAATTCGAAAAGTAGATACTGGGTTCTTATGTTCGACTAGGTTTTTCCTATTCCAGTCAATTAAAATAAAAGCGTTGATTGCTTACCTGTTCAAGGTTTTCCACCTTCTGCTCTCTAAACTGGACTCTATTAGCAATGCACTTGGATTTCAGGTAAGGTACATATTTATTTCCTTCTGACGCAAATGCCGTGTAGTGAATGCAGTGTCTAAAAAATAATACTGCTCATCTTCCAGAAATTAAAGTTGCATTTTATTGAAGCAAACTAACTTTGATGGCTCCGGGAATAATTCCTTAATTTCTCGCTCTTCTAAAAATCTAAAATTGTACACAACATCTCCGTAAGCTCTTTGCTGCTGTTCCAATCGCTCTCTGGTATCTGACTGGATATGTCCGGAAAGAAGCTTCACCCCAGTTTCGTCCCCCTTCTCAGTACGATAAAGATGTGCAAACCAAGCAAAAGTGTATTTTCCGTAATCCCTGAAAACAGTTTCGTAGAGCAGGTTAAGAGGTGTTTTGGTAATGAATTTTTAATAAATTAGTTTTGGCTATTGGCTTTCGATTTTCGTTTCCTAGGAGCTAGTTTATCTTTTAAATTTTACATTTTTGAAAACAAGATTTAGGAAGAAAGAATCACCGATTATTTTCATCATCAATTCTAAATAATCCTGCTGGTCCAGCACTACAAGTCTCAACAAATGGGCGATCATGGAGTACAGTAATCTGAGAGTTTGGGAGTGCTAACGAAACTTGGAGGGCCGTAGAACATCCAACGACGCCTTCTCCAATGATTGCTATCTTTTTCAGCATTCTGAAAAAATTGTTTAAAAAAATACTTTAATTAGCAACATTTTATTTAGTTGGGAACCAGGAAGAAAGTTAATTACAAAAAAAAAGAAATTTAGAAGAATGGAATCGAAAATCAATTAAAAAAAACCAAAATAGAATCGAATCAGTTCGTAAAACACAATTAAACACGTTCTCTTATCTTCATTTTAAGTCCTTATCATCTCTTTTTCCGCAATTGTCTTGTCCGTTTCTCTCCGTCCTCCTTAACGCTCAATTGTTGATTTAAAACGTTGAAGTAGTGATCAGATGATGTAGCGAGAGATGCGTGAAGAGTATTTGTGACAGTGTCGCGGTGCTGAGAAATATTCTTTTAAAACATATTCGGGTTGGATGAATAACCTTTTTCTGAAACACCCATAGGTAGAGAGGCATGGCCACTGAGTAGAGAGGAACGAAGTTGACTACTGAAAAATTGGAGCTTGATAGATGAAAATTGAAAACTGAGAACATTGTGTTTTTTTCAAACTCGACTTTTAAGAACGAGCTTTAAATAAACTTAAACTCAATATTTTGGAATAACTCAAATTGCAAAATATAGACCTTGTCTAGTTCTTTAGTTTATACAATTCACCTTCCACCAACGCATGATAAGTGGGTCGTTCCATTTCTGAACTATAATAGTGAACAGGCGCTGATAGTGTGAAACAGGTGAATACAAACATCAAGTCGCAAAGTGTGAATGATTGTAGAAGTCGAATATTCCTCATATTGGCTTCCAACTGGTAACGATTGCTGAGAGTGGCGGTAACAGATCGGGCACGAATTCTCTGTAAACATTTTTGAATCTGTTCTGAAATTTCCAAAAAGTTGTATCGCGGTTCTCAAAAAACAGAGATGAACTTTTCGAGATAAATTTATTGCTAGTTAAACATTTTATTTTCGAGTACCAGTCTCTGTTCGTGAAGAAAAATTACCCCCATTCAGAAGCGGAAAATCACATTTTCGGATTATTATTTTTCTTCACTGACCTTATTCAGCCTCAGGAGACATCGATTTATAATTCGCGCTATAATCTGAAGTACAATGATTAACACTTCTGGAATGATGACCCATAGAGGAAAGGTGACAGAGATGCTCTGAAAAGAAAATTATCTCAACATTTTCTCTAAAGTAATTTTCATTGTGTCTGAACTTGAGTCAAAAAGCTGGTTGAATTTTTGAACTAGCTTGTCGGAAACTCTATATATTGTCCGCTTTTAAATAAGGCGGAATTCATCATGACACCTCTTAGATTTGAAACTCACCGAGCAATAGTAATGTGGGGCATCAAATTCATATTCATGAAACACCGAAGCCATTAACACCAATGAGCACACAATCTGAAACGTATTTTGACAGTTAGGGTTTCTACGCAAAGGTTTATTAAGATTCACACCATTTTGTAGTGCCTTCAAGATTGAACGTTTTGAGTCGAACAGACTTACCTGACAGAATCCAATTGTGATTCCAATTGATTTATATCCATTCTCATAGGTTTGACTATAACAAGTCGCAAATCCCCTTTCGATCATAAGAAATATAGTAGTAGTACTAGACAAAAGTAGACCAAACATATAAGGAAATCGTAGAACAAAGCATCTCATGGATCCGGGTTGCATATCATAACAATCGTTTCCAATAAAGTAGAAATACAAATCGAACAAATGCATGAACAATCGAGGAACACAATGCATCAGGAGAGCAGCGCAATGGATTTTCAGGAGCAATTTTAAGTTGAAATGCATTAGTTTATAGCGACAAATAGATAGCCAAGTGTGGATGAGACAAAACACAGCGATTCCGCAACAGAATAAGTTGAAGTAGAGGACGGATTGAAGGAAATGGGAGTTCGCTACTTGGAGCATGACAGAGCAGTTAAAAAAAACAGGATCCAAAAATCCCGTCATTCTGAAAAATTTTTTATGTAATGTGACTGAAAATCTTGTTACGAAAACTTTAATAAATTTTTTCAAAACTTTCAAAGTGAATCTAGAAAAGTATTATAGCATGCAGAAGGAAGATACGTTTTCAGAAGAAAAGCAACGAAAATGATTATATTTGAGGACAGAGCAAAAAAGAAAAACTAAAAGAGAAACGTTTTTCGACTTAGAATAATTAGAAGTTGAAGTGGTGCTTCTTCACTAGACATAATAAAAGGAGAAGAAGAAAAAACTTCGCGTTTTTCTGGATGTCGTTTTAAAAAACTTCATGAACAATCACTATTTCAGTAATAGACCAAATGATCTAGGCGTTCAAAAAATTTCTGACATTCTGGAAATTTAGCAATTTCATGTTTTAATTAAACAAAGCAGAAAATTAAAAACTCAAATATTCCTAAAGACATTAATTTTACTTTTCAAAATGATTCACAATGTTAGATGAGGAATTGTGAAGAAGTTTTTCAAAAAAGGCTACATGAATACAAAATGGTGGACAATTTTTTCTAACCTTTGATGCTTCGTCTTTTTTTCATTCAAGAAAGTTTTTTGCCCATTCCCCCTCCTTTCTGAAAATTCGTGTGCGGACCAAGAAAAAAAAAGAAATACATGTATGTTTTTTGAATATCGCTAAACAAATATTTCTTGAGTTGGTGAAGTAATAGAGAATAATTTTACGAGGTTATTCGAAAAAAAGGTTCTGAAAATTTCCGACTGAATTTCTTGAAGTCTTGCTCATCTCTCAATAGCTAACACTTGTTAAGGAGTTGTTTTTTTTCCCAGCTATTTGAGCATTCGTATGTAAATGACCCTAGCAAAAAAGAAAACAATAGGATGACAGAGGCAAAAATTCGAGAGACTAAAAATTGAGTATTGGGTTTTATCCGTAAAATTAATATAAATTTTAAGAAGGTCCTAAAAATTTCCAGAAATTGAAGTATTCGAATACAGAGAAACATGAAAAAATGTTCATAAACGTGCAAAATTCAACGTTTGAAAACCGTTGAACGGGAAAGAATTTTCGAGGCAGGAAGTGAACTTTTTTGAACAGTGTGCTAAACTTTCAGGCACATACAACCCATATTTCGAATTCGAAACGCCCTTAAAAAATTTTCAGCAGCTAAGACATGCTGGAAAAAACCTTAACATTTTTCTTTTGCTCTCAAACTCGGAAAAATTGATTTACATATATTTCCTAATGAGCCATCTCATGAATACCATTTGAGAGAATGTTTTCGTGGTAAATAGAGCAAAAAAAAAGATGAAAAGGGAAAAACTCATCTCATTTTCTTTCTCTCTTGGGTTTTTCCTCATCGGAAAAAATAGGAAAAAAAGAGAATTTTTTCTAGGAAAAATAGGTACTGAGCCCTAGAGAGGGGGTGTCATGAATAAAAAATTAACGGGAAAATTGAGAAATGTGTTGTTCGGCGCTCTCTCCCTTGTTTTTTCGAATGGTTCGTTATTTTCTGAAAAATTGGAAAAGAGGATTGAAAATTTAAACCACCTAATTGAATTCATTGCGGAGTCACTTGATCTTTTTTCAGAAAAAAGGAATTTTTCAGAATCTGGTTGGAAAGAAAAACAGAATCTCTATTTTAAGATAGCCAAAAACGTAACATCGTCAAAAAATTAGATTTAAGTCGGGTTTTTTTGAAAAGTTCAAACTTTCTCTCGATATACCCATAATGCGTTTTTTCAAAACATTCTTGGAATCGAAAAACTTGAGCAAATAAAAATTTTTGGATTCATAAAACAACAAAAAACAGAAGCAGGGAATATTATTTCGGCTGAACGATCATTTTATTGTTTTTGAGAAAAATTCAAAGAAGAATCTAGAGAAACGGAGAATATAGGAATTTATGAATTATTAAAAAGAATCCTGGGATATTTTTTATACTACATTTTCTAGAAGTTTTTGTAGGAATTGAGAAATTATAAAAAACAGAGAAGCTTACTTCTCAAGGGTTCCCCATAAACTGTCGGTGTGTCTTCCATTTCCGGCCATTTGGGTTTCTCTGAAAAAAAGAAACTTAGAGCTTTGATTGAACAATAGTCTCAAATTATGGCACATAGATTCTATTCGTTAAAAAAATTATTAGACATTTATGACGAGACAGAGAAAAATGTTGAACCTAGA